ACACTTTCTGCCATCACTCTGTCGTCCTCACGCTAAAACGGTTTACAGTGGCATGAAAGAACATCAGTTATTAAAAGAAACCTCCTGATACACATGCAGAACAAAGAGCACCTTGCTGGCGTCCTGCTGTTCCTCCGAGGGCTGAAATGTGACGTTGATTCCACATGATTAAAATAGAAACTCATGAATTCAGGCTTGGGGAAAACGTCGGAAAGCAAACACAATGAGTCCACAGTACCTGTATTGTATTTTTTTAATAACATGTTTCAATATTGCAACAGCCATCTGCTTCTCTAACAGGTAGAAATCATGAAAAACTCCAACAGAAAGTCGAGAAATAAACCCAAAACAAAAGGAGGACTTGATTATTCTCTTCGCTACTCGCTTAATTCAAACAATAGTCATTTGAACACAGTGAGAAGATCTCATTCAGCACATTATCAGCATCGTTATTCAAACAAATTATAAAAATAGATTGCATTTTCAAATACATATTTACAGTATCAAACAGATACAATGCAAAGGGGACTCGAGTCTTGTTGGGTAAAGGGCTGTTGAACAGTACGGTACAGTACAGCATCTCGTCCTCCTGTAGAGATTATTCATCGGGTTATGCCAGATATGATACGGCTGTAAGAATAATAATGAGGAATATGCATCTTTGTATGTAGTATTACTAAATTACCAAACACTTCAGCTGCTCACATCCTACAAATCAAGAAGCTAATAGGTGAAGACAAATAAAGATCCAGTCGCTTGTACTATATGTATTTGTTGTTCATGTGGTTTGCACCAAGCTGTGTGTGTGTGTGTGTGTGTGTGTGTGTGTGTGTGTGTGCTGAATTAGGGTTTCTCTCAATACTGCTTCCAAGTCCAACCAAATCTTGTTCACACACTCACATCACACACACTTGCACGCACACAGAAAGAAAATGAAATTCAATAACACTAGAACATTCTTGTTCAGGAACAACCACTTCTGCTGTACAAACCCCAACATCAAGTCCTACAAACCTCCCGGAATATCAGACAACTGCCTGCGCGGTGTGTAATTAAAGTATGCAGGTGTGTGACTGTATTTGTGTGTACACATTCACTCACTCACTCACTCACTCACTCACTCACTCACTCACTCACTCACTCACTTACTCACTAACCCAAACCAATCACTCACTCACCCAACCAAACAAACAAACAAGTGTTTACTCACATACTCACTCAGCCACTCACTCACCGAGTCATTCACTCACCACCTCAACTATCCAATATCTTATTCACACAGCCAAACAATGACTTCATCATTCACTCACTCACTCACTCACTCAAATCACTCATTTATTCATTCACTCAATCATCTACTCACTCACCCACCCAAACCAAACACTCAAACAAATCACTTAATCATCTACTTATTAATTTATTTACTCACTCACTCATACCAACCATTCATTCATCAACTCACTCAATAATTCACTCGCCCAATAACTCACTCACCCACCCACCCTCCCAAACCACTCACTCACTCACTCACTCATTCACAACAAATAGATCATTCAATCATCTACTCACTTACTCATACCAATCACTCACTCGCTCTCATTTACTCACTCAATCATTCTTTCAATCACCCAATAACTCATTCACCCACCCAAAGCAACCACTCACTCACTCACTCACTCAAACAAATAATTCAATCATCTACACTCAATCAATCATCTACTCACTCACCCATTTACCCACTCAATCATTCACTCAATCATTCACCCAATAACTCACTGACCCACCCAAAGCAACCACTCACTCACTCACTCACTCACACAAATCATTCAATCATCTACACTCAACCACTCACTCACTCACTCACTCACTCACGCTCAAACAAATCATTCAATCATCTACACTGAATCAATCATCTACTCACTCACCCATTTACCCACTCAATCATTCACTTACCCACCCACCCCAACCAATCACTCATTTACTCAAACAAACCACTCTATCATCTACTCATTTAATCCTCTACTCACTCACTCACTCACTTATCTACTCTCCCAAAATAAAGAAATCTCACTCACTCACTCTCTCACTCACTCCTTCACTCAAACAAATCACTTAATCATCTACTCATTCAATTATCTGCTCACTGACTCATACCAATCAATCTCATTTACTCACTCATTCACTCACTCACCCACCCAAACCAACCTCTTATCCACTCACT